TGCGGTCTTGGCCCGGTTCCTCGATCTCTGCTTTTCTGTTCTGTCCCTGCCTCCGGACCAAAACTGCGTGTTGTGCCTTGCCTGAGATCTGCTGTGGAAGGGGCAATGCGTGCTGGCCCGTGAAGGCCTGCAGTTCACTTCAGTCACTGAATGAGCTTCTGTGGTCCGGTGATCTTGTCTGAATACTTGCTTAATGCAGCTCAGGCTAAGGACCAGCAATTTCTGAATCGAGCTGCTAACTTCCAGAAGAAGAGCTGAACTTGATTAAAGTCGCAGTGATGGAGATAACTTATTCTTAAATAAACTCTTTTAAGGGTGAATTAGTTTTTGCTTCCCCCACAGCACCATTTACTGTGAGCTCTAAGGTCGAATCATTGTTGTTAGGTTGCTGGGTTGGAGAGCTGTCCCTGTTGGATCCGAACAGATTGTGGTTTCTAAAATAAAAAGAAAAATTTAAAAAAATCTGTTCTATGAGCTAGTTTAACCACCCCTCAGCTGATACAACCATTGTATTTGAATGATGAATGGCAAAATTGGATGGCAAATGAGACAAAAAATCCTACTGGTGTGTTATATATCCTACTGGTATGATATTACCCTTCACCGGTCTTCCATTTTGCACCCACAGGCTGTGTGCTTTGCCATACCGTTCTGGGAGGATGCTTAGCTCATCACTTACCAAAACAACAGAAGCAGTTTATTTGTTAGGTTTCAAAACTTGCTTCTCAAACTGCAGGATGCTGGTGCTGCTACATACTGCTATGTGTGTCCCGAGTTAAGCATACTGTTAAGATCTGTGACCTTGCGTTTATACGGAGCCCAGTATAATGTGTGTGACTTTCTCAGTGTTTCAGATTTTGCTAAAATTGTTTCCAGTGGCATTCATTGCATCAAAATACCAAAACAAATATAACACTTAGTAGAGGTTGTCGAGATTATCAGTATATGTAGAGGTCCAGTTGCCTGGATTAGTTTGGTACAGATAAAGCTTTAGCGGTACTTGATCAGTGGAGTTTGATGGAAGACAGTTCTGTTACCTGAAAAAAGCAAACAAACAAAATACCCAAACCCTGTTCCACAAAAAATGTTGACCTCTTTCGGTCTTTGTGCTGTTGCTGAATGGTAGCCTTGTTTTAGAACACTGTGAGAGATAGTACAGATAAAAATGAAAAGATCTGTCTTGGATTGCCATCAGTTTGGGACATTTCTGATTGTCATGACTGTACACCCAGAGATACGGTAGAAAATGAAGTTGCTAGTCTGTCATGCAGCAACTTCAGTGGAGTATGAATGTGATGTCATTGTGCAGTCAAACCACTCTGGTTGGGATGTAATTTTACAGCATGGTTTCTCCTGCTGACTGGGGATGTGAGTGAATGTTGCACAGAGTTTGAGTGATAAAACTAAAAAATAACTTAAGGTCTGCCCCTAAGTGAAATTTAAGGAGCTCAACTTAATTTTGTAATAAGGACTTAGAGGGTACCACTGGTATCTTGTCATAAGCTTATTAAGCTGCAGCAGAACATGCCTAGAGAGAAGCTGAATTTAACTGAGCTTAAATATGAGCTTGGGAAGTAGCTGCGATGAGGGTAGCCGAAATGTTTTAGGGCAGCGATGGATTTGCCATCCTGTGTGTGCATCTGTGGCATGGCCCTGAAAGGTGCTGTTTTGCTGTGGTTACCGAGGCTGTTTGGACACAGCAAACGGAACCAAATCAGTAGCTTTCCTATGCTTTGAGCTGTCTGGATGCTGTGTTTTACTACATGTGAACTTGTGCTGCCATGTGCAGCTTTCCAGTAGCTCTTCTGGGAGTGATAATGGATGACATGGTTTCCTTGAAGATCCCTATTTTTCAGCAGGGGAGTAACACTGGTGTCCAGGATAACACAACAAAGAAACTCGTAAAGCCTAAACAGTGGGTTGACTCTGCAACTTTGTATTGAATGCTTTGCATATTCACCTTGGGAAAAACATGTCTGTGAGGGAGCTCAATATGTACCCAAACAGCCAACTAGAATGAGCAGTGTGTGTCTGTGTTTGTGGTTGCGTTGTCATAAATACGAAGAACGGTTATCAGTGAAGCAGAGGTTGTAGGACATCACAGCATCCCATCGGCCAATGCCCGGCACCTGCTGGCTTTCTGAAATTATTAAAGGTGCCACAGTTGAGGACTGCCAATTGTGACCATGTATGTTTAAGAAGAGGTGGAAGTGTTTTTTTTCTTAAACAGACTTAAAGCTGTAATAACAGGTCAGGCAACTTGGACATGTTTACATTGTTTCTGAGCAAAAAATTGATGCTTCAGAAGAAATGCGGCTAAGCAGGTATTCCAGCATTGCAGGACATGAGAATCTGTGCAGTGTTGGGGGCCTGGACTGGTCTGTAGGTTATGCAGTAGGTGGATGTGTGTGACCTCTGCTCTTCTCGCCCTACTCACCAGTTGGATACGTTATTGGAGCCAAAGGAAGGAGGATAGGATAAAGTGTAAGTGGATGTGTGTTAACCAGTCTTAAAATGTTTGAATACCCTCTTCAGGTAATTAGACTGTAAGGTGGTAGTTGCTTATAAAATTGTTACTTGACTGTTTGTTAAGCGTGTAGATTATATATTTCTGACAAGTTAAAAATTGTCTAATTTTATCTTGTGTATAGACTGCCAGGAAAAGTCTGTAGTGGACTACTGAAACTTCTACTTATATTGTTTGCGAAATAGCAGAAGGGCTTTTAAGAGCCTTGTAATACAGTTATTGTGTTTTGCTTATTTGTCAGTATGCTAATACTAGTAGCATAATAATGTTCAAAACTACATATCTTTGAAGTTCAAGCTATTAATAAGTCTCTTGCCTTGAATTTGTCTTATATGCTGAAACCGTCATTGCTCATCTATTTGGGGAGAAGTTTCTGATAAATGGCTACTCAATGAATTGCTAATAGTAGCTGTAAGACTGATCTCAACGCTAGGATAGCACTCCAGCAAGGGTGCAGTGTTTTCTAGTAAGTTTATTTAATCTTAGGAAACATTCTACTATGTTTTATGGTTTACACAGACCAGATAGTTTATGATCTAAGTGTCTGTCAAAATAATTGAGTACTAAATTTGGCTTTTTAAATAGATTGGTTTTAATGGATGCATTCTTAGAAAAGTGCAGAGATTTGTATGTTTGCTCTTCTATTTCTGTAGTCACTATAATGATAACATTGCTGCTGGGTTTACTAAACAGATGACTTTGATAGTCATCAATTGAGTATCTCTAGGGATTACAGCTTGACAGCCTTTGAATGTAATTTAATGCTTCTAATGCCATATATAATTTGAGTTATATTAACAAATCCTTCATTAATCTGTTACAGAAGCACTTACACTGGTTAGTTACTAGTCACTCATTGCTTCTCCTAATGATCTTCGTTCTGTGTTTAAGGATGATTTCTGTAAACTTCCAGTCTCCCCTTCCTGCTCCCTCCTTACGTCTTTATTAATATTGTGGGGGTTTTTGGAGGGTTTGTAACTTTCGTTCAGCTAGGAGTTATTTTACTGAGTTCTAGGATCATAATCTACAAAATGGTCTTGATTTTTACTGATTTAGATGGTATTTTTTATAGAATTTTTTTGGTTAAATATCACACATGGTTGTGCCAGTGCATGTCTGCTTTTTTTTTTTTTTTACCCTAGGCCTAGTATTGTATACTTAGATCACTGACATAACACCGGATAGTCCACAAAATAGTGTGTAGCTGGCCACCTATTTCTTGCTGTGTTGGAAGTTAGGCTTCATCTTAGAAGTTTCTGGCCATTATAATGACTGCGCTTGGTTTTAATAAGCTCATTGTAGGGTCTGTTCAGTAGTGTCCTCCTTCCAATCATAATGTGATATGATCATGTGTTTGTTTCAGGCATTAAAATAAATGGGTTGTGTTAGCGTGCCAACTTGAAGTAATTTGAAGCCTGATATGACCTGATGATCCTCTTAGGACAATTTGGCTTGAATTGTAGGGTGGGGCACTCTGAACTTTTTTCCCATGCAGTCTTGGCCCTAAGGGTTCCACAAAGCACAGGGTTTTTTTCATTGTTTTTTTTTTTCTTCACAGCTGGCCTTAATCAAGATTGGTACCTTGTTTGGTCTAGGGAGGGTGCAACATGAGAGAGGGATTGTAACTGGTAAGAACACAAGCACAACTGCTCTGGAGTTGTAGGAGGGCATGCATACGGAGATGTTACTCATGAAGCAAGCTGTCAGTAAAGCTAAGGTGTCCTTAGCTCAGTGCCTTGTTTGCTCTCTATATTACTTTATAACCCGTAGGAAAATAGCATGGTAGTGTAGTGAACTCTTAAAAAGGTTGGGAGATCCGACTGTTGTTCCTCTGCTGATTTTTGAAACTTATTTTGATTTCTCTTAAAACTGGCCAGATTTTACATTGCTTCTTCAGTACTGTGCCTGGATAACATAGGATTGCTGTGGCCAAGCAGTAGAATCTAGGGCAATTTTGCATTTGAAACATGACTCGTAATGGTCTGATCTGTGTTTTGTGTCCCCTTCTAATGGCTTCATGTTTGCTGTATGGGTAATGCATGTGTCTTTCAAATACTACAGCTGGAATAATGTTCTTAATATTGAACTTCTTGCCTATTTTTCTGCATTCTCCCTAGTAATAAATATTCCAGTGTTACATGTGTGGTTCTGTCTCCATGGCAGTTGTACAAAAGAAGCCGAGTGCAGAACTTCTTGAAGTAACAGTTCACATTTCTGCCGTCTGCATCTAGCTTACTCCCCAGTAGAAATTCTGATAACTCTATCAAAATAATAAAATAAATGAAACTATTTTTTAATAAAAGGGAGAGCTTATGTTGAGGAGAAAAGCTACCATTTTTAAATCTCCTTCAGTGTAAAAATTTTTCACTTCCAGAATTCTTCCACTGTATATGCTTGATATTGCCTATTGATATTTGGTTTTTAGACAAAAATGTGTTATGAGAACTTCTAATGATAACTCATTTTCTTTCAGACACTACTTCAGTATGCTGGCAGTCGGGGTGCATCGGAACATATTTTACCTTTTTTGGAAGTATATCGAATCTCCATCCAAAGCTTTGCTAATGCACGACCTTACTTGACTACAGAATGTGAAGATGTTCTTTTGGTACTTGGCAGGCTAGTGCTGTAAGTTTTAAGTTGGTACATTAATATTAAAAAAAAAAAAAGTACATTATAAATGAATGACCAAGTTGTTGAAATAGTATAATACTTAATTTGACAACTGTATTTATGATTTATTGTCTAGTAAATGTCATTAATACTTTTTTAATCATACTGCAAAAATGTACCGTTAATTAATGTGAACAAGTGGTAAGGCTTTGTTTTTCTGTGTTTGGATAATTGTACAGGTATTGGGAAGGTTCTGTTCTTTCTTAAACATTCTGAAAATTATTGTTATTTTCTATAGAAAAATTATTGTTATTTTCTATAGAAAAAGCTTAGTGTGGTCCTCGTTAAACAGAAGCTTTAATATTGGCCCTTGATGCATGGATTAATAAACCTGTGTCACTTGCTCTGCAGTTGCCGCTTTCGTGTGTCCTCTCACCTGTAATGCGAGGTAGTTCTGAACATGTCCCTTTCTGAAAAGGATAAGCTGTTTTCTATTTATGGCAATCGAAGTTGTGCGCATGGGCTGTTGCTATAGGATAGCAAAACAGTAGAGTAATTCAACGTGAGCTCTTTGGCCAGTGTCTGTAGACATGACTTAGAGCACAGCAATTCTTCAAACAAAAGAGAGAACTATTTTACAGTCCATCAGCTAAGTTAGAATAACTTGTAGTTCCTCAAAGTCTGTTTTAAGTGCAAATCAGCTATTTGAAGAGTGTAGCCTGAGGGCTTTCACATACGTTGGAGTTACTACCCTTAGCCTGAGGTGGAGAACTTGATGCAGGGGTCATTCCTTGCTGGTAAGGTTTCATTCGAGGGGGGAGGGTGAAGATCTAGAATCTTGAATATAAAGATCATCATAGAATAAAAGTAATTCTGTGACAGTTTTTCAATGGGCTATTTTTTCTTTGTTTTCAGTAGCTTACTTGCTTTGTTGTCTGAAGTCAAGTGTTCTTTTCGAGAAGGATTTTGCAATGAACTCCTTGGTCAAATGCTTTTTTTGTAATACACTAACTTGCACTATAAATCAGCAGCTCAGAACCAGGTATCTCCATATGATTCCTTGATTATTTTTTTTTTGGAGTTATGAGAAATATGTGAACTAGAAGTGATTTTTTCTTTTTTTTTTTTTTTTTTTAAACCTTCTGTCAGGAAGGGAAAATGTGTGAAATCAGGAAAAGTCTGTCTTAACTTCCTAATATGGAAACTGAAGACTTAAACTGCTAAATCATTTACCTGGTACATAATGCATATATTTTGGGCAAAATAGCTTAATTGCTTTGCAGACTTTCCCTTTATGGATAGAGTATTCTCATCTTTGTCGTATTATCGTTAATTAGCTTGTGTATTCTGCTGTTTCCTACTCATGTCACTTAAAAAGTTTGTCTTTCACTATCTTCATATGCAGGTCATCCATACCTGGAGTACTTTATATTTTGCCACTGTTATATACTTCGGGGCAGGAATCCCAATTTTCTGTCAAAATTGCTTATCAATATTGCTTTTCTCTTATTGAGCAAAATCAGAATATTCTGCTTCTGCTAATATGGTTTCTTCCACCTTTCAGTGTGAGGAGTTTGTTTGCTGTTGCTCATACACTCAGAAAACTTTGTGGTGGAGGACAGTAGAGAGGCTGACTTACTGGAATCTCCCCTGTTCTTGTTATGATTACATCTGAGAGGAATCTAAAGAATGAGAAAGACAACGAGTGGGGTCGCAAATAGGGTGAGGTAAATAGCATACCTAACTGAACTCTCCCACATTTTTACATAAGAGTTTCCAAGGGAGGGAGAGAGAAGTTAGAGCAGGGAATTGAGAATCCTTTGTTTCTGAGGGTACTGTGTGAGGGGGAAGGTGCCATTCATGTTAGCATCAGTATGAAAATTTTACTTCCATCTGAAAATGGCTTATATGGTCTTAAGATTAATAGATTAAAGTTAAAAAGGTAGAAAGAATTGTTCCTAGTTCACATAGTGTTTGCCAGTAGCTAATATTTGACTGCTCTCTACTTTCCTGTTTGTTGTGATGGCACTGGTCTGAAAGGGAGTTTACCATTTCTACATCTTCAAGAAGGTGTTTATATGCTTTTTCAACCATAAAAAGAGAAAGGAGATCTGAATGTCATCTGGCCTAAGTAGCAAAACTGGATTCAACTGATAAGACCAGTCTACCTCAGACTTCTTGAGCTGTATCTCACCTACTGGTTGTACCTACGGAGTCTTAACACACATTGCTTCCAGGAAGAGTGCGCTTGCTTTCCATTTTCTTCCTCTGTGAGGAGGCACATATGATGGTTCGCTGCTTTCTCTGTCTAACAAAGCATTTCTCAACCTAATAAACTGTTGTAATTTGATTTGCTAACTTGCATTTACCACTCTGCTGTCTGTCATTAAGAGCTAACCCAACTGTTAACAAATGCAGGATTGTTCCTGGCAACAGGTGAACTATTCCTG